TACTACACACACACACACACACACACACACACACTATATATATATATATATATATACGGTACACATCGAACTCTTGTGGTATATTATCGTGTCCTTTAAATCCACAATCTCGCGTCCCTTGAAACGACTATCCCATAGAAATTAGATCTATTGCCTAAATCGAATCGAGGACCTTTGAAGCCTCGTATTTAAAGATATGAAGCTTATAGTAATCTTAGTTAAGCCGATTATCATTTGTTCGTACATACATTTTCACGACGAAAAGACGGTACATTTCCGAAATACTTTTTTCGATCAAAGGAAAGTATTTGGAATAGAGAGATCAGATCACTATTTTTCAGATTTGCGAATAGTAAAATAGATATCAAGTTGCTGAATTATATTTCAAGTTGATACTATAAAAATTAATTGATACTATAAAAAATTATATTAATAAATTTTATTATAAATTATATTAAAACTTTTATTAATAAAAATTGTGGTAGATACATGATAAGCCACAATTTTTTCAATTGTACTTATTTTCCAAAAATGTGACGCAAGTGCTTACATACCTAATTGCGCTGTAGATTGCATTTTGGATATAAAAAAAAGAAAAAAATGCCGTATTGAGAATTTTTAAATCTGAAAGCTATAATTGAAAATTGTGCACAGTTAACAAAGTCTCTCTATGTAAAAAAGAAGCAGTTTTAATATTGCTTCTATCTACATCTTTATTTATTCATGGCTAATCTTTTTCTTCATCATGCGCTTTTTTTACGAAGGTTTTTTTTCTTTTGACGTCGTATGTCTTTGATTTTTGCTGCGTCTGACTTTCGTGTCAAGGTGTAAAAATTATATCTTTCATTATCGAGTCTATAATTAATTAATAACGGAGGGATTTGTCGAGCGTGAAAATTTCTATCATCGAAATGTTAATGACGAATCTTCGTGGAAGTGTCTATTTAACTATTTAATTAATCGCTAATCAATCTGGAAAAACGTTTCCGTGCCCGAGCCCGTAACTCGACTCGAGTGATTTGATTGTCGACATCTTCCAATTTAAGACCCAGAATTGTCAGATAAGAAATATTAAATGCTCGCCTAATCGTTCAAACTTTTGTCGCTCTCATGACAATTTTTTTTTAATGTTTAATGTCAACTTTGAGATATAATATTAATAGTGAATGATTTCATAAATGTAATTAAACGATCGATGACGCCATGGTAAATAAGAAACGTTTTGCCATATGCGTTATAGATGATGTAATCAGACTGACTTAATTATGGTCGTTAGTTTAACCATAACATATTTCTAAATTGCCGCGTTATCTCTCGCAAACGTATTTAGGCGTAGCATACATCATTTTAAAAGACCGCGTGTTAACGTGAGCTGTAATCGGTCGTAAAAGAAATCTTGACGAAAGGGGATTAAGCACGCGAGAAACGCCGCGGGCGGAATCTTGAAAATTTTTTCTCGACATTCCGTGACTCTTTTTGCTCTCGGTGCCGGACGATCGTTTTTGTCGCGCGGGCCAACGCGCCGCGTTTTGCTCCCGTCAAGTGAAGGAAAAAAAAAAAGGAGGAGAAAAGAAAGATATTGCGATCGTGTGCGCGCACGTGACGCGCGACTTGACACGTGTAACTTCAGGCGGGCCGAGCGAGCGCGCACGCGCGTTTATGCCCCGTGTACACTGTTCACAATAATGAGGAGTTTGCACAGACCGGGATCCCGACGTTCTTCAAACAGCGAGAGGCAAGGACAAACACGGCTCTATATGGACGGATGGACAAACATGACATATGCGTTCGTGTTCGTTCGCTCGCTCGTTTGTTCGTACGTACGTATGTATGTTCGTTCGTTCGTTCGTTCGTTCGTGTCCACGTCGTCGAATCGGCGCTAAACTGATGCGAACGTCGGAGTACCTCTACCGCTACGAGAGAGCGAGCGAAGCTCTCTTCACCCTTCTCGCCGCCCATCGCTACGGAAACTATCGACCATCACCCTCGCTCAACAAGCACCATAAGCGATATGCTGGCTAACATTTGCCGGGCTAAGCACACAAATACGATACAGTGCTGTTTGCTCGGCTGCCAGTGGTGCTCGATCGCGCTTGCGATATCACCGGAATCAGCATCGATATCGGCATCGGCACTACAATGCCAACGATTTAATTCATCTCACGGATAGAAAAGACTTATGAATGATGAGATACGGCAGACACTGTTACGAGAACATCAGGATCTCGGCTAGAGCCTCGCAAGAGGAAAAGAGAAAGAGAGACAGACAGAGAGAGAGAGAGAGAGAGAGAGAGAGAGAGAGAAAGCTGTGCTGTTGTACAACTCTCTCGGACTGGGAGAAGATAACCGACTATTGCCGATCGTACACAGACTCAGTCTCGTGTAATCACGCGTGCACGCGTTCTATATACGTGTGCGCCTACATCTACTCTCTCGTCTTCCCTCGCCATCCTGCTCCCTTCATGTGCTCCAATCTACCGTGGACCTCGTATCACTTTCGCTCGCGCGGCGCCCACCCCTGCCCTTTCGCGGTCGAACAGCTGTACGGAGTTAATTATTCGAGACGAGAGGTAGAGGATGATCTCAGGGACTGGCGATCGATCGATCCGACGACGTTTCTGGGACACGGATCGATTGATACATATCACACTGGCTAGACGCGACTAACGTGTAGTTTCTCACGTTTTTCTTTTGTCCGCAGGGCCCACCGCAAGCCAGTTCATCGTTCAAGTTTACGGTCGCCGAGTCCTGCGACAGGATCAAAGAGGAGTTCAACTTCCTACAAGCGCAGTACCACTCGTGAGTATAATCGACGGTCACGCGCTTCTTGACGTCGCATCCTGGGGCGCGGGAGGGGAAGAAGGAGGCACTTTCCTATTCGCGACGTTCGGTTCTTCTCTCCTCTCTTTTCTTTTTTTCCGTCCGACGCGGAAACGCGCGCCTAAGGATCGCAGCGAGTCGCGCGTATTGCGCGCTTGTGGAAAAGAAAAAAAGGTCTGGGAACGGGCGCAGCTGCGCGTTCGGAGTGCATGCTATATCCTGCAAACGTAGTTGCACGACAGATACGTAATGGCAGCTCGCGAATACACGAACTCGAGCTTCTCGAGTTTCACGAACACCAGGGAAGACAAGTCTTGCATTTTTCAGTAGCGCGCGCGGATCGAAACTTTTCTCGTTGTCCGACGGACGGCTCTTCCTTTTCCTTCTTTTTTTTTTTTTTTTTTTTTTTTTCCCTCTTTTCGTCTCACCACGTACGGCACATATTCTATTCGTCGAAAAGAAGAGAAGAAAGGAAGGAAGACGAAGTAGTCGGTTTCGGTTCGGTTCCGTTCGTTTCGTTCTTTCCCCGTTCCCCCCCGTTCCCCTCCTCCTTCTCTCTCTCTCTCTCTCTCTCTCTCTTCCTCCCCCATCTTTCGTATCCAGAATAATCATGCTCGCTCGACCGCTAAACCACCTCGGCTTCTTAGCATTAATTGCATCCTCCAAGTCGGAGCCGGGGTCGGGCTTTACATTGGCTCGTTACGCCGTACGCCATAGTCAGATATACTACAGATACATGTATATGTATGTATGCGCTCGTGCATAGCTAATGACTCTAAGAGCCAGTGGCTCTCATCGAATTAGTCTACAACGGTCGCACGGGCGCAGCTGTCTCGCACGTTTAATGAACGAAGTAATATGCTGTTAGGTCACGGCGGCGACTACGACGACGTGGTCTACGGCGGTCTACGGCTCGTTAATATTCGAGCGCCTCATACCCTATGCTCTTCACATTCGCGATCGGCCCACCATCCGCGCTCTCCCACGACGTGACAACCGAAGAGAAAAAGAAAAAGGAACGGACGCGACGGAGAAGTTATTTATGAACTTTCGAGAAGCCACGAGAGGGAGAAAAGTAGCCCCGCGCGCCGATCTGAAATTTCTTCTCCCGACCGAAGGATCGGAGGAACGATCGGAGAGACGTTAAATTAGATTGAAGATAAATTCGTGATTTTCTAACCGCAATTTTACAAATTGCCAACGAGTCTCGAGATCACGCGGCATCCGCAACGTGTTGTCCAGTTCCGTTATTTACCTGTTTATCGAGGGCGTCGCGGTAATTAAATCGAAAACACGGCATCGCTGCGAGGAGTTTTACGGCCCGGTACAACCCGGTCGATTTATCGTTACCGTTTTAATTCGCCGCGTACTCTCGTCGACCTAATTGGCGCGGAGGCGGCGAACGCGGGCCACTAGTTTAAACGCAATTAATCTCTGCTTTAGTCCATTTGATACGAATGCTCCCTTTCTCTGTCCTCCCGCCCTCCACCCCTCGTCGCTGCCGCCGTCGCGCCGATGCGCGACGCTAGCCTCGTTAACACGCGTTAAGGATGTTGCTCCTCTCGCCGTAACGCCGTAACGCCGTTGCCCCCGGGGGAAAGAGTTGTGCCAATGGTCGATGCTGTTGCCGCTGCAGTCGACCGATCTCGACAGCCTCCATTCCTCTCGGTATTCAGGCATTCTATCCTTTTCTCTCTGCCACCACCTCCATATCTCTCTCTCTCTC